CCCCCCACCCCACCCCCTCTAAATTTTCATTATTGTGACTTGTTTTCCTATCCCTACCCCTAATTTACATACATACGTACACTTTAAGGAATTAAAAGAAAAATTGAATTTTGGCCACAATTGCTAAATTTCTAGTTCCTATTGCTTTGTAACTCAATACCGTAAGCCACAGATATTTAAAAATATTCATACTTTAAGGTCAAATAAGCTATAAGCTAAATATCTAAGGTTTATAGATAAAGGGATTTGAAAAGTTGAGTTTGTGGCAAAACTCAGCTACTTTACATAAAATCTTAAAACGGCACAAAGCCTCATTCTTGTGTGATGTCTGGTCAATCTTTGATTATTTATTAAACTTACACTGGTGAAGAGCTGAGTTTGGTAGTATCCGAATGCTCTGAGTCTATCTTACTACAGGAAAGGATAATGGAGTGTCCGGAAACCCCGGGGGAAAAACTAGAACTAAATTCACTAAGATCTGAACTGGACTGGGTAAGATGAGAGAATGAGGATGAATTAAATAAGCTGGATGAAACAGGATCAGAAAGATCTTGGTTGAATGATGAATCACTGGTCTCACTAACCCGACTCTCCTGGGAGTGAAGAAAGTTCTCTATTGAGCTGTGAAGGATTGGTAACAGGAGAGGAGACGGAGATCGATCCCGGCAGTTAGATTTCATGCTAGAAATTATCACAGAGTTCGGTCTTAACTGCTCCAGGTCCTCATGACAGTAGTTAGAGATCTCGTTCTTAATCTGTAGAATATGATGTTTAGACTCACGTCTCTCTCTCATCCTGTTCTCATACTCTGCCTCGGCCCCAAACACCCTGGGTTCGATGGTCGTTATCACAGATTTAGTGTACGTGTCAGAGAAACTTGGTAGGTTCACGGAGAGGGCTGAGTCCTCTAAACTACTCAAATTGAACTCGGAGATGGGTTGACTGATAAACTCAGCTCGGAAATCAATATTTCCAAACTTGTAATCGGAGTTCGAGAGCTGAGTAAGGACGGGTTGAGGAGACTTATCTCCGTCCTCCGTATCCATCCCGTTGTCCATGGATACAGGCTGTAGGGTGTGGCCGGCTGTAACGCCCATCAGCGTTAGATTTGTCTCTGAATGCCCATCATCCAGAGTGAGATAGCTGGGAAGAAGAGAATCCGCAAAAGAAAGCCCGCAACCATTCTAAACAGTGCAATATTGAAATACATTTGTATATCAAATATCTTAATTTGTCCTGGGTTTTATGAGCTAATCTACCGTACTTGTAATAAAATCAATATCCACAGTGGAAATTTCTAATTTAAAACGATCAAGATGTATTCAGTTGACAGACAGACGGACAGGATGTATTCAGTTTACAGAAAGACAGACAGGATGTATTCAGTTTACAGACAGACGGAACGGATGTATTCAGTTTATAGACAGACGGACCGGATGTATTCAGTTTACAGACAGACGGACAGGATGTATTCAGTTTACAGACAGACGGACCGGATGTATTCAGTTTACAGACAAACGGATGTATTCAGTTTACAGACAGACGGACAGGATGTATTCAGATTACAGACAGACGAACAGGATGTATTCAGTTTACAGACAGACGGACAGGATGTATTCAGTTTAAAGACAGACAGACAGGATGTATTAATTTACAGACAGCCGGACAGGATGTATTCAGTTTCCAGACAGACGGACAGGATGTATTCAGTTTACAGATAGACGGACAGGATGTATTCAGTTTACAGACAGACTGGTAGGATGTATTCAGTTTACAGACAGGCGGAGAGGATGTATTCGTGTATTCAGTTTACAGACAGACGGACCGGATGTATTCAGTTTACAGATAGACGGACAGGATGTATTCAGTTTACAGATAGACGGACAGGATGTATTCAGTTTACAGATAGACGGAGAGGATGTATTTATGTATTCAGTTTACAGATAGACGGACCGGATGTATTCAGTTTACAGATAGACTGACAGGATGTATTCAGTTTACAGATAGACGGACAGGATGTATTCATTTTACAGACAGACGGACAGGATGTATTCATGTATTCAGTTTACAGACAGACGGACCGAATGTATTCAGTTTACAGATAGACGGACAAGATGTATTCAGTTTACAGACAGACGGACAGGATGTATTCAGTTTACAGATAGACGGACGGGATGTATTCATGTATTCAGTTTACAGACAGACGGACCGGATGTATTCAGTTTACAGATAGACGGACAAGATGTATTCTTATATTCAGTTTAAAGACAGACGGACCGGATGTATTCAGTTTACAGATAGACTGACAGGATGTGTTCAGTTTACATTCAGACGGACCGGATGTATTCAGTTTACAGACAGACGGACGGGATGTATTCAGTTTACATTCAGACGGACCGGATGTATTCATTTTACAGACAGACGGACAGGATGTATTCAGTTTACATTCAGACTGACCGGATGTATTCAGTTTACAGATAGACGGACCGTATGAAAGACTAGATTGTGGATTGAGATGCGAGATGGCAAGGATGAGGATAAACGATTAAATAGATGATTTACAAAGTGAGTGTAAGAACGAGAATGATTACATAAAAAGATGAGAATTAAAGATTGATAAATGAGAGGGTTTGTAAGCATGTAAACTAGGTTTATATGACTGTGCATCCGTGTTATTAACCATGCACCCGAAAGTAAATATATCCAAAAAAACATGGTCGTTTTCCTTTAGTTCCTTTTACTGGTCTATGTAATGATGCTTAAAATTCTGCATCTATGTACAAATACAATAAACATAAAGGAGGAAATCACGATTTTAACTTTTAGGATTCGAGATTTGACTTTTGGGTGACTTTAACGATGAAAAGAGAGGTATCGTGTTCCACCAAATTCAAATTCAACCTCAAAGTTAAACACCGTAAATTTAAATTCTATTTGAACTCTGCAAAGATCTGCTGCACTCGTGCAGTCTTAAATGCAGATCTGTTAAACCAATGAAGGGTTCAAGGTGTCTAACACGTTTCAACCATAAATCCACAAACTTTTTGTAAATCCGCGAAAATTGTCGAACATACTTACTTGCAAATATATTTGCGACATGTCTGCACCGTGCTCCGAGACTATCTTATACAGTCAGTCAGTCTCATTTATCAGTTTAACACAACAATCCGTGAAAACCTTGAAAAACAAAAAGTTAATGGACCGAACACTAATCGGAGAAAAAATTTTACGCCTTTAATTATTAAACCTGCTTGTCATAGTCACAGGAAGTTTAGGAAGTGTACTCTTTGGGAAGTATTTGAAGAGAGATCAACAGAGGTATTTTCAAACGTTAATTTCATACAAAACCATAACAATTGTTAACTAGATTTAACTAGTTTTCAAGTGGTTTAACCACAGTGTTTATAAATAATTACACTTTTTACGCTGTATAATTGTACTATTTGTAATATCTATGGTAGTTTTATACTCTCCAATATACTACTTAAATACATTTGACAGAAATTTCTATTTAGCTTGGATAGTATTATTATTATTAGAGACGATTGTTAGAATACAGTGAGATTCATAAAACCGTGGAGAAAGAAGACAGTTATTAGAATACAGTGAGATCCATAAAACCGTGGAGAAAGAAGACGATTGTTAGAATACAGTGAGATACATAAAACCGTGGAGAAAGAAGACGATTGTTAGAATACAGTGAAATCCATTAAACCGTGGAGAAAGAAGACGATTGTTAGAATACAGTGAGATTCATAAGACCATGGAGAAAGAATACGATTGTTAGACTACAGTGAGATCCATAAAACCGTGGAGAAAGAAGACGATTGTTAGAATACAATGAGATCCATAAAACCATGGAGAAAGAAGATGATTGTTAAAATACAGTGATATCCATAAAATCGTGGAGAAAGAAGACGATTGTTAGACTACAGTGAGATCCATAAAACCGTGGAGAAAGAAGACGATTGTTAGAATACGGGGAGATCCATAAAACCATGGAGAAAGAAGACAATTTTAGAATTCAGTGAGATCCATAAAACTGTGGAGAAAGAAGACGATTGTTAGACTACAGTGAGATCCATAAAATCGTGGAGAAAGAAGACGATTGTTAGAAAAATACAGTGAGATACATAAAACCGTGGAGGAAGAAGACGATTGTTAGAATACAGTGAGATATAAAAAACCGTGGAGTAAGAAGACGACTGTTAGACTGACGTTATGATTTTCAACAGTGCAATAAACATGAAACCCAGTAATTGTGCAGTATATGAGTTAGGAAATTAATTTTAAAGCTACAAGGAAACGTTTTCCTTTACATAAACGTATAAGATTGCCCTAATTTCATTTTCTATTTAACAGTTTTTTCTTGGTCCCACAGAAACCTAATTTTCAACTATATTTGGATGCGATCAAACAATCGTGTTTCCGCCTGCTCGATTAACTTCTGATCTATAGATGAAACCAATACGAGCCAACGTAAAACAATTTGATTGTTTCTAGGAATCTAGCAGAGATCAATCTGAACATTGCATTAATGCTTAAACTAGTATCACGTTAAAGGAACTCAGGTCAAAACTTTTGTGTTCGAAAGCGCTAATCTACAACGCTACATCTTGATATCTACTGTGGTAATTTAAAAAGGAAATGAGTCTTTACCACAAACTCAACTAATCTTTGTAATCTGATAGTTTACACCTTTGATATTTCAAACTTTGATTTTTTGATACAACAAAATTCATAGTTTGAAATGGCTTAGGTATAACGACATTGGGTTGAAAAGATGTAGGGATTAAAACAGTTTGTTGCAAAGGCTCAATTCCTTTAATGAAAATTTCAGGCACTAACAGACGCAGGCTATTTTGATCCTGGGATCAAAATAAAACGAAAGTTTTGACCTCTAAAAAATTGCCTCGAATTCTAATTTCTAACCCTTATATTTTTGCAACCTAATGTCGAAGGATTCTGCCACATCATATCGGTAATAGTTGCAAATAGTTCAAATATCTAGTTGATACGTGTAATTTGTTAACGCGTAGTGCCTACAGAAACTTTTCCTGAAAATGATCATTGGAGGTCAGACTTTATTATCTAACATTTTTTGTCGATTTTATCCTTGAAAAAATGTATTTTTTTCTTCCTGAACAAGATTTTTAAAAGGTACCCCCTCCCTTCCAACCTCCCACCATCAATAAGTAATATTTTTAAGTATGCCAAATCGTGGGAGCTGATTGGCAGCTGAAACCACGTGAAACATGCACCAGGCAAACTCGAGCAATCAATGTCTTAGAAGTAAGGTATTCTCAAATCTTAAAGTTTATTGACATCGAGCTCAAAAGCTCTTTGGCTCATTGCATCCAGACGTTTTAAAAAATATTTTTAATCACAAAATAAAATTAATGGAATCTGGAAGAAAGTAGGATCTCTTGCTAACTAAACCATTTCATACCCTATCTATATAACATTGGTTGCACTTGCACTAAACTGCTAGTACTATAGTAGTATTATAGATTCATTTCAACTACCGATTTTGTTGCCATAAGCTTAACCAGGGGCAATTATGCAGTATAAAAGTAACTGAGCCCGTAAAAGGGTCCTAGTGCTCCCTTTTCCTGGTTAAAGGGACTGTTTATTTAATTTCAAGTGACTCTCTATTTATATTCTTTAAATCTAAAAAATTCTTTCCCTCTTTCCAGCTGCAAAAATCCACACATCAATTTTATAGAGAACTGAAATTGAAAACTTTACCATTTTTACTCCGGAAAAGGGTTAAAGAGTATCGTTTTATAGTATTTGGATATAAATAGAGAATTATATGAAATTATGTCTACAGTCACTTTATCTAATGCCAAGATTAATGTTTTTATTGTGCTACTTTTAAGCACATTACTGCTTTTAAGTGGAGAATTATAACCCTTGTACATGCTAGGTTACTTTTCTCTGAAAATGTTTGCATAAAAAGGGGTTGATAAAATTGCTTGAAATATGACCTCACTAAATTCCACTCCAAAAAATTACTTATGATGNGAGAACATTGACATTTTACTATTAAATCAAAACATAATAAAAGCAAATTCCAAGGACATTAAAAAATCGTCAGTTTTTACTTTTAGACAGGGTAAACCACAAAGAATAAGAACAACCTGAAAATCTTTAAATAAAACGATTCAAAGGTTAAATTTAAACTTTTTTACTCTATTTGATTTTTCGAATGGACATCAAATTAACAGGGAAACAACTTTCTAGATGAGCAAAGATTAGAAAAAGTAGAGCATTTCGTACAGTCGTCTCTGAAGTCTCAAACTTTTTGGTTTCGGAAAGCGTCTTGTGGCAGATATCGACAGATTTACTTGAAAAAGGCCGAAAATGTCCTGGATAAAAATTATCAACATTCAAATAAAATATTTCTTTTTACATTTTAATCAGAAATATTATCTTTTAAGACAAATTATTACAGTATTATTTCTATGTTACGAACCATTTTGTATTACTCCATCATTGTCTTAAACAAGTTTGCTTCTAATTGTTTGTTCTGATGCTTTAAAAAAATCTAGATGTCACCTCTAACAGCTTTTAAAACAAGTGGAATGGAATAATAGCAAGTGACAGAAATATTTTCTTATGTGAATAAATAACGAAACCATGAAAAAACCTTTTATTCAACTTTTTGCTTTAGCTTTTAGAGTAACCAACTAAAGGGACTGAATACCTAATTTCAAGTGACTCTTCGTTTACAAAGTAGTATATTCGATCTACAATGATGTACACTAATACCCTTTAAAGAATCATTTACCTATCCAAGTGTTCTTTTTAATCACAACTTGCGAATAACTTGCTAAAAACGACAATATCTTCAGGGTTATTAATCAAGTATAGATTTAAAGAACAGTTGTGAATCGGACATGGAGAGACAGTTGAAATTACAACAAGGGTATCTTTAAACTAATATTAAATTTAGCTTACATATAGGCGATAGCTTATATTACACACACAATAACCAATTTATTGAAAAATTGGGCATCTTAATTAATTTAGTTCTTTGCAAAGTTCTTTGCAAAGCGGGGTTTTAATATTCAAAAAGGTTTGCAAATAATTTTATCGTCTTTTGAGATGAAAATGTGCGGTTTGTTTTCACGAAAACTTTGCAAAGCGGGATTTTATTTTCAGAAAGTGTCCCTAGGGACCGTTAAAAAAACTTAACATCCTGCTGTTGGGGGTTTAATGGGTTGGTAGTTTTTGGTCATAAGGTGCAGTATTTAAATGACGTAACCACGTGACCATGTTTTTGACCACGTTTTGTTCTAATAATTGTTTCCAAAACAATTTGCTGAGATTTTTAAATTACGAGGATTATTTAACTTCCAAGACAAGACAAAATCGTTTAAACTCTTTCTAGATTAATACTTTTCATCTTTAAATTGATTTTATAATTCTGGAGAACATTTTTTTCCATTTAACAGAAAATGGACGATTACATTATCAAAAAATATAAATATTTGTTTACTTTTTTAACTAGTTTTTAACCTTTTTTCTATACTTTTCTTTCACACTGTACGTCCTTTTAGTGGCAAATAATCACTTTTTTATGAAAAATAATTAGTTTTTTAAGTCTGTTACCTCTTTTACATAGAGTAACATAATAACAGAACTATGTGCGTGCGCGTAATCTCAGAGTCTATGAACAACTGTTCGTCTAGAGCGCATTTACTTCCGTGGGACGCGCGGCGTGTTGCTACGGTTTAGTTACTCCGTCCCCCTCCTTTAAATTGGGTTAGATCTGGGTATTGAAAACAACTAGAACACAAGGGTTTCTCAAGGATTAGGGGTAAATATTTTTTACAATTTCCTCAATTTCAGTTCATTTTTTTATCTTAAAGACATAATTTTGGTAGTTTTATCAGTCGCATAATTGATTTAAAGATTTTTAAGCGACGGATATACATTATATACACGCTTTAAAGAAGTTTTCAAAATGAACGAAAACAAGTTTGTTAAATGCAGTACAAGTGCAGTGCAAAAGCAATTCCTCTGGCAAATCAACCTTTAAGTAAAATAATGAATTCAAGTTTGTGTAACTGTGTAACCAACTGAAATCAGGAGAATTTGTCTTTTAATCATTTTAGAGGCCGAATTTAAAGAATTCATTAAATTTGGACTCTGGTCGTATTTTTTTTTTAACTTAAACCCAATACTGAGGCTCTCGCCCCTGTTTAGTATAAATAAAGTGATCACCAACCTTTCAGCCCAGGGCTTATTTAAACTTAACAAGTCAATCAAGCAAAATATTATTAACCCAAGGAAGGTTGAAGGTGCGAACCCCAGATTTTCTCTTCATGCGAATTATATTTCTTTCAGCAAAAAAAAAAAAAATATTATGTTAATTTTTAATTTGAAGATGCTGTGTACTTTGCAGGTATAATTTATAATGTCCGATTCACAACGGTACCCTTTTAACCCTTTTTAACCCCTTCTAACCCCCTTTTAACCCCTTTTTTAACCTCTTTTTAACCCCTTTTTAACCCCTTTTTAACACCTTTTTAATCCATTTTTAACCCCTTTATAACCACTTTTAACCCCTTTTTTATCAACAATAATCATTAGCTAAAGCTTGAAAGCCTTACTTATAATTCATATAAATGTCTCTTTTATTTCGCAAGTAACTTGTACTGTGTACACAAAAACCATAAAAAATGTATTTTCCGCTAGAAAAGATAATACCTTGATAAAGTAAATTTACCCTTCACAAGCAAGGGGAGGGGGGCGTTTGACACCCCTGCCCCCCCCAATCCAGTTTTTTTGCCCTAGCACTCTCAGTTTTGACACTATCACCGAGACTTTTAATGAATAAAATTCTAAAAACTATATTTTCGAAAAGCCCTTGAAAAATGAACGTAGAAACATATGTCACATCTTGATATTTGTTTGCAACAAAAAATTTCTTTTTACATTTTTGACCCTTTTTTGTCGTTTTTTCAACCCTCCCTAGCACCCAAACTATCAAAGTTATTGGTCTATTTTTATGAGCTGGCTGTGAACAGGCATTTCACCCCTACACTCATTCTCTCAGGTCTTTTTCTAGGGTGGGGGGGGGGACTTTACATGATTTTATATTGTGAGTTTTGGATCCCTACGATCAAAAACGAATATAAAATAAATTAAATTTGGTCAAAATCTAATGCTTATTGATATCTACTGTGACGCTCAATTAGCATTGATAATGCCTGAATGTAATTATATATTATTACAATATTACGGGAATTATATTTATAATTTTGTTTACAGTTTTCCTTGTACTGTTAACCCTATCTTTGCTGAGGTACTTGAAAACCAATATATGCTGACCCCCCCCAGCAGGAATAGGGTTAACGTTCACGTAGATTTCTCACAATAATTTGAAATAATAATTCCGTAGGAATACTAATTTCTAAGCAATATTTTACAGTGATAAGCAATTATATCAATACAATGAAGACGACTTTCAATTTCAATTTTAATATAAAGGTCAACCTGTTAAACAGCATGGATGCACATAAACTTGAAAGCAAAGAAAATTTGTCAATTTCAAAAGCTTCTCTTTGATTATTTGTAAACTTTTAATTCAAAAAAAGCTTGCTAACAATCAAAACTCAAATAAACAGTCGTCTTCATTGTATCGATATAATCGTCTAACACTGTAGAAAATCAAATCTTATTAAGTTAAATCAAATTAAATTAAAATAAACTTAGCACCTTTTGACAAGTCTTTTGAAAAGAAAGATTCTCTGTTGAAAACAAACATTCACTTTCATTTCACTTCCACTCTGCAAGCGGGTGTTTAGAATGGTTACTAATAGTAGGTTGCATATAGTTAAGAATTTTAAGTTCTATTCAGTTTGCATTCTAATGGGGTAAAATGTTTGCTACTCAGCCAACATCTAGAGGAAATTGTTTCTCCTTTTTCATTCCTTTCCCTTCTTAACCATACACTCTCCCTTCTGGTACCTTCTTCATCATCATCCTATCTCCACCCTCATCCTTTCTCTATCATCATTCCTTCTCCATCCGTATCTCTTCTTTATCATCATTCCTTCTCTATCCTAATCATTTCTCCATCCTCATCCCTTCTTATTCCTCATCCCTTTTCCATCTTCATCCCTTCTCAATCCTCATCCCTTCTCCATCCTCATCCCTTCTCCATCCTCATCCCTTCTCCATCCTCATCCCTTCTCCATCCTCATCCCTTCTTCATCCTCATCCCTTCTCCGTCCTCATCCTTTCTTCATCCTCATCCCTTCTTCATCCACATCCCTTCTACATCCCTCATCCCTTCTACATTCCTCATCCATTCTTTATCCTGAAACCTTCTCCGTTTCCATCTCAAATCTTAACCCTTCTCTTTCCTGATCCTTCTCCGTCCTGAACCCTTCTCAGTCCTTATTCCTTCTCCATCCTGATACCTTCTTCATCCTGATTCATTCTCCATCCTGATTCCTTCTCCATCCTGATTAATTCTCCATCCGGATTCCTTCTCCATCCTGATTCCTTCTTCCTTCTTCATCCTGATTCCTTCTCCATCCTTATTCCTTCTCCATCCTCATCCCTTCTCCATCCTGATTTTTTCTTCATCCTGATTCCTTCTCCATCCTGATTCCTTCTCCATCCTTAATCCTTCTCCATCCTCATCCCTTCTCCATCCTGATTCCTTCTCCATCCTGATTCCTTCTCCATCCTGATTCCTTCTCCATCCTTATTCCTTCTCCATCCTCATCCCTTCTCCATCCTGATTCCTTCTCCATCCTCATTCCTTCTCCATCCTTATTCCTTCTCCATCCTGATTCCTTCTCCATCCTGATTCCTTCTCCATCCTATTTCCTTCTCCATCCTGATTACTTCTCCATCCTTATTCCTTCTCCATCCTTATTCCTTCTCCATCCTCATCCCTTCTCCATCCTGATTCCTTCTCCATCCTGATTCCTTCGGCATTCAGACTTTAGTATTTAGCATTCATCCAAATAATCTTTTCTTTCTTCCCTCGCTTTATTGCATCATGTATAATTTTGTGATGTATAAACCATCACTGTGAACATGAATTTTCAAAACAATTTGGCACAGTTTTAGTCCAGATGTACAGAGTGTTCCGCTAAATATCGTCTTGATTTTTTAATAGTTTGTGGAATTTATTCTTCAACCTACTTTTGTATAATACTTGAGTAAATCATCTCAAAATAACCCTTGTGCAGGCTTTTTCCAGATTAAGGTCTGCCTTTTAGTGAGAAAAAAAATGATTTTGTTCAAAAAATGATTTTCGTTCTATTTTGAAAAATTATATTTGGACAAAATTCTACAATAATTTGGGAAGCACATTTGAAAGAAGACAACATTTTAGAAATCAATGCTGAAATAATTACAAGCTTCGTCTCTTAATCCTCATATTTCTTTGGAGCCCCCTGTATGCAGTAGCATATTTCTTTGGAGCCCCCTGTATGCAGTAGCATATTTCTTTGGAGCACCCTATATGCTGTTGCATATTTCTTTGGAGCCCCCTGTATGCTGTTGCATATTTCTTTGGAGCCCCCTTTATCCTGTTGCATATTTCTTTGGAGCCCCCTGTATGCAGTAGCATATTTCTTTGGAGCACCCTATATGCTGTTGCATATTTCTTTGGAGAACCCTGCATGCTGTTGCATATTTCTTTGGAGCACCTTGTATGCTGTTGCATTTTTCTTTGGAGAACCCTGTATGCAGTTGCATATTTCTTTGGAGAACCCTGTATGCTGTTGCATATTTCTTTGGAGCACCCTATATGCTGTTGCATATTTCTTTGGAGAACCCTGTATGCTGTTGCATATTTCTTTGGGGAACCCTGTATGCTGTTGCATATTTCATTGGAGCCCCCTGTATGCTGTAGCATATTTCTTTGGAGAACCCTGTATGCTGTTGCATATTTCTTTGGAGCACCCTATATGCTGTTGCATATTTCTTTGGAGCCCCCTGTATGCAGTTGCATATTTCTTTGGAGAACCCTGTATGCTGTTTCATATTTCTTTGGAGCACCCTATATGCTGTTGCATATTTCTTTGGAGCACCCTGTATGCTGTTGCATATTTCTTTGAGGAACCCTGTATGCTGTTGCATATTTCTTTGGAGCACCCTATATGCTGTTGCATATTTCTTTGGAGCCCCCCGTATGCAGTTGCATATTTCTTTGGAGAATCCTGTATGCTGTTGCATATTTCTTTGGAGCACCCTATATGCTGTTGCATATTTCTTTGGAGCCCCCTGTATGCAGTTGCATATTTCTTTGGAGGACCCTGTATGCAGTTGCATATTTCTTGGCAAAATTGAATTGATATAAAATATTGCAAACAATTAAGGCAGTGTGGGATAAAAGCATTGTTAATTAAATATAATTAATGGTTAAACGAACTGGAGCTTTTAATGCGCTGTGTCTGGATTGTTTACGTTCAAGGGCCTCGGGACATTTTTTCAACAGAAATATATGTTTCAATTGAAAGACATAATCATACGAAAACAAAATAATCTTCCGGGACCCGAATTCAACGAATTTGAGCTACGTTTTTGAACTACCTAATGCCGGTTCTAATGTTTTAATTGAAAGACATAATAATTCTTAACGTTTTGTCCAGAGTGTTGGAAAGACATAATAATTCTTAATGTTTGGTCCAGAGTGTTGGAAAGACATAATATTTCTTAATGTTTTGT